TGGAAGTTTTCAAAATAGACGGAATACCCATTTGGCTGGGATGGTATACAACTCCTGCCTTGAGAAGGGGATTCAACGAGAAGACGTCTGAAATCGTTCCAGCTGTATGATTCTGATTCTAGTAAAAATTGGTTAGCAGGAGAGGCTGGATTCATGATAAAATATCTTCCTTTTCAGGGCAACCATTTGACCCTTCACTTTCAGTCCTAAATGCGGTTTCTAATGTCATATGTGCTTTGAGTTTTGAACATCAGTTTTCTGAAGAAGACGAAGACTTCCAGAAGCTGGTTCACGCTCTTAAAATTATTTTTAAATTCTTTGGTGACTCTTTTCATGCGGTGAGTCATTTTTTCTACTAAGTAGGCAAAGCGCTCCAAACTAATTATGTTTTCACCAGTATTTTCATGGAATCCAAGAATGTGTGGCATGCAGTAAGTTTTGAAAATCCTCTCCTTTTCTTTCGTGTGTGTGTGTGTGTGTGTGTGTGTGTGTGTGTGTTCCTTGAGTGAGTCTTGATTCCTGGTGAGAGCCTGGACATGTATATATTATTTTATTTTTAGATATACATCAACATCAATACATCAACAGTAAGGCATCTCCGTGTCATTCATTTTGATACAAATAACAATGATATTAATAATACTTGTTATGTTACTCAAGCTTTTATCATCTTAGTGTTGATACACATATTTGTATTAAGATATAATCCTTCATTATTTAATTGTTCAGTGTTTCAGTATGCCACTCTAATGCCAATCACAATATTAGTTGAACATGTATAGTAATACCATCTTTCAACCTCTAATTTTTCCATTTGGCTTTTCTTCTATTGTATAAAAATGTGTACACTAATATCCCCCCTATTTTTTGTTTATAAGACATTTCCTTTCTATCCGTCATCTTTTGCCTGTTTTAATACTTCAATTCTTAGTCATTTTTTGGCTTGCCTTCCTTACTCATCTCTTGGCTCTTATCTCTATCTAGTCGAAATATTTTATGTTTTATCTTTTCCTCTGCCACTGTGTCTTGCTTGTATAATTCCTTATAATATTTTTCTAGTATTTTTTCCTTTTCTTCCTTTTGATAACAAATATTCCCTTCTTGGTCTAATAATTGATTTATAAATTTCCTTCCAGGACCCCTATCATGTCAGCTATTCTCTCCCAAAATACACTTCAATTTGTAAAACTGTTTCTAAAGTACAATGTAGAAATCTAGAAGCAATATTCTAGTAGCGTCTGAATAGTGAGGAAGAAAGAGGAAGAATGATTTCTCTGGATCTGTTGAAACTATACGCATAGTCTTTGGCTTACAAACACAATTGAGCCTGGATTTTTGATCATAATTCATTGTGGTTGCAAGTTGAGCCAGCATGTGACTGGACTTGATATTACAACCATTTTTACAATGGCTGTTAAGCAAATTAGCATAGTTATTAGCATAAGTTATTAATAGTTATTAAGTGAATCACATGTTTATAAGTTTGAATCCAGCTTATCTGATTGATGTTTTGTCAGAGCTCGCACAGTGTGACTATGTGTGAAACCAGGAGCAAATACAGAAAGCAGAGGTTTGTACTTTAAATACAAACAGGGCCTCTTCTTATTACAGACTCTTAAAGTGATATCAGCCCCCAAACTTGCTGACTCATTCCCAGTATTACATCATCATAGCAGCTGGTCAGCTCTTAAATTATTGCCCTGACATGTTTTTTTTGCTGAAAAACAGAAAAGTTGTAAAGTTTGTTTGTGTCAACTCATAAAGTTGCCATGGTGAGGAAAAGGGGGGGGAGCGCATTCCACGCATACCTTCGGCCAGAGTCAGATCTCAGATTACTACAGCAGGTTTGTGAGGAGTGCGCCTCATTGGTGAATGTGATTTATGACACAGACTGAGGAGAGGGAAGGAACGGGGGTAAAGTCCAGCTATAATTCAAATGAGGATCAGATCTGACTGCAAAAAAGGTATTGACAAAATGCTCCTCATAAATGACTGGTTTTCTTTTGAAACTTCACTCGAGGCTCATGAATAAATTAGGGCATCTTTTGGAAACCTGACAGTTTGTTTATTTAGCATGTGGCAAGTTGTAAAGTGCAAAGTGAAATCAGGAGGCTGCAATCAGTCATGAATGGAAGCCAATTTCCAAGCATCCAAAATGTAATAATGTGACCATAGAATGGTGCAGCAGTCATATCTTTGAGGAAGAGTCATGAATATATTTGTTCAAGCCATTGTTGAGCTCCATCACATTGCAGGCAGCTAATGATCCAACAAGACAGCTAGATCATTTTCACATGTACCATCTCCCATAATGCATTTATATCCCTTTGATTTTTCCTACCCGTATGTAAAATTTTGCATGTGTTCCTTTCAAGACTCTCCTGTTCTCTAAGATGTTTTCTTATCCTTATGGCCACCATGATTTTTTTGTCCTTTCAGAAAGAGAGAGAATAATGCAAGGCTTCGAATGTAGCCTTGTGATATACTTGTCAGCATCTCAAGCAAGTAACAGGTTCTCATTGGATACTATTGTGGACACGCAGGGACTCATGACTTATGATGCATTTGACCCTTCCCTGTTTTGCTTGTGGCAGGAAATAAATAACCTTTCCTCTTCTTTTTCTCTTAGGTGTATGATTTGTTCCCACAATTAATGAAGTATCTCCCAGGCCCTCACAAGAAAGCCCTGGCTTCTCTGGATATTATCCTTGAATTTGCAAAGCAGGAAATAGAGAAACACAAGGAATCTCACTGTCTGCAAGAACCACAAGATTTCATTGATTACTATCTTCTTCAGATGGAGAAGGTTGGGTTTATTGTGGTTGTATTGACACAGGCAAGGGATTATTCGTTTTTTAGAAGTAACTTATCGATTTGAAGTGCCTTAGCACCATTATTGCACATGGTCAGTGGTGGGTTTCAAAAATTTTTGGAACCTCTTCTGTAGGTGTGGCCTGCTTTCCGGGTCCACTGGTGGAACCTCTTCTAACCGGTTCGGTAGATTTGACGAACCGGTTCTACCGAATAGGTGCGAACTGGTAGGAACACACTTCTGCACATGGTCTTAGTTTCTCTACAGTCACAAGGCATGGTAATTCAGCGATGCATCACAATCAGAAGTAAGAGCCCAGTATCTGAACTGAGTCCCTTTATTTAATTTGATACCATCAGTCATGAGTTTACCATTGGTCTGGTCATCACACTCAAGATATACAGTCTTCTTAATACTGCTCCCCATTCCTAAATATATGAAGATGTATTTTCCACCTTTATATTAATGGTTCAATGCTGCTTCCTATTTTACTTTCTATCTTGGTCTCATCAGCATAACATTTATTTATTAAAGTTATATGCCTCCCATCTCACGGTTAGAGAGATTCTGGGCAATTTACTGCCCAGTAATAAAGAGGAGACAGGTGACATAGAGGGTTGGGAGTTTTTTTTCTACACCATCAGTCACCCCCAAAGTAGCACACTTCAGTTGTGGCTCCAGGCCAGCCAACAAGAGTCACATTTTTAGCCTTACCAGGAGATCAGGTGACTGGAGACCGGCCTCCCTTCCAGTGGGAAAATAATCCATAGGGCAGGGACCACAGCAGGAAAGGCTCTTCTCCTGGGAGTTTTTTGGCAGCTGAGATCTGAAGTGGGCTGCTTCTGTTGGATTGAGGGGGATAGGGCACTCCCAGTGGGTTGATACCTTGGACCCATGCCATAAAGGGCTTTACAGGAAATATTCAACACCTTGAATTGGACCCAGGAACCACCTAATCAGTGTAGCTCATACAACAGAGATGTTACATGGGCCATCTGAATGGCCTCAGGAACTGTCTACATCACTGAATTCTACACCCGTTATTGGTTCCAAATGCTCTTCAAGGGCAGCCTCACGTAGAGCATGTTCCAATAATCCAACCAAGACATTGACCAGGGCATGAGTGACTACACAGGCCTCACAATCAAACGAAAAGGTACTGTGTGAAGTTGCACAAATATTCTTTTAGCCATGGCTGCCACCTGCAGTTCGAGCAGGAGTTGTGAGTCTAGGAGAACCTCCAGAAACCCAGAAATAAAAACAACCACAGGAAAGCTACATAGATTTCAATGTAATTTTCGTTTTCCATTTTAAACATCAGAGCAGGAATGACCCTGACTCTACCTACAGTGAAGAGAATCTGGCTCAGTGTATTTTTGATTTTTTTGGTGCTGGAACAGAGACAACCTTCGCTACTCTGATGTGGGCACTGCTTCTCTTGACAAACCACCCTGACATCCAAGGTGAGTGAAATCTGTGGGAACAAGGCCAAGCCTCAGGTTCTATAACACAGAAGAATTATTTGAAGGTATTTGAAATATTAAGCCCTATTGAATGATGAACTGAATCTACATAGTAATTTTCTACATGAAATGTCTTTTGGCAAAGCTGGCTCTTTCGAATAAGAAATGGAGATGAGCACTGCCCCCAAGAGGCAGTCATGACTGGAGAGGAGAAACCTTGATCTTTAGACTTTACGGGTTGATGTTGTGCCCCTGTGGAGCAGGGGCCATTGAAATTACAGTTCAGGTCCTATTAGATTATTCCCTGTAGTCTGCAAGGATTCTGCACTTCATTTATAACTGGTAATATATTATGGGAAACACTCATCTCTTTTATAAACAGGTGTTACTATTGGCTCAGTGTGACACAATTTCATTCAATGTAGCTAAATTATTCTGTAAAAAGATAAAGTTAGGCCACCTCTGTAATATTATGTCTTGTTTATTGTAAAAGTTTTAATTTTTAACTCTGGTCTGTGATCATAACAAAGGATTGATTGATACTTCTGAGAATTAAAATTGGGAAATGAATAAATAAATGAACAAAGGAATAAAAAAAAAACCACAATATTGAATATGAAGTTTCCATTTCCATTTTTGTTTTCTAGAGAAAGTTCAGAAAGAGATTGAGGATGTGTTTGGCTGTTCGGGGTCAATTTCCTATCAGGATAAGAAGAAGCTGCCCTACACCAATGCCGTGATTCATGAAATGCAGCGTGTAAAATATGTCTTACTATATGGGGTTCCAAGGCAAAGCACGAAGGATGTGGAGATGAGGGGTTACCACATTCCAAAGGTGAGAAACGTGTTTGGGCTGCATTGCAGTAGCCCAACATGGAAGGAAAACGAGAATAAAACACTTGGACAGAAGGTGTCTCTGTTCAGGAAGTGCCAATTAGTCATGCAAAACTGAATAAGCCAGTATAATAAAAACTTTTGAGGGTTGAATTATGGGTTTAACTCCAAACACTTCTCAGATTTTAAAGCTAGAATCTTAAATGTTTTGTATTTATCCTAGGAAGATGGTAAGAGTTTAGGGGCTGAAGTTCAGCAGCCTACAAGGAAAACCTGTACAAAATGTTTTAGCATTGGCATTTACCTCCAGCTAGTTTGGCCAAAATGTTTCCAAACCGCTCCCTTAAATGCTGGAGATGTAGCTATAAACAGGGAACCTTCTACCATATGTGGTGGACCTGCACCAAAGACAGGAAGTATTGGCTTAAAATAAAGGAATGGTTGGAACAAATTACGGAACAAATTGCAGAACAAAAGACCCGATCTATTTTTTTTTACAAAGTCTTTATTGTTTTTATTAAAGAGAAACACAAAAGAAAAAGATCATCTTTCAGTACATCTTGTAAAAAGCGTATCCATTGGTTACAGGTACATTTCGTGCATTTCTTCGACAATCATTACATATATTTCATTCAGTTTGAGTTGTACATTATAGAATTTATATATTTTACTATCACTATACCACAATTTTCATTTAATTAGGGTTTTCAGGACACAACCACCTACTGGCTGGTTTGCGGCCTAGACCTGGTAGCTGCAGCAGTCCCTG